GGACTGAGCTCTACATATGGAAGCTTGATCTTTCCCCACCTGCTGCTGTTGACAGGTTGAGAGAAAGCAGAGAGTGAAAAACAGCAGAGGTCGTACCTGCTACAGAAGGCAGCAAGCACAAGGTCTATGGGGATGATACAAGACAGGACTGTCACAGGAAAAGTGATTTAAATGGTCTGTCTGGTGTCATTTGGAGACACCAGACTGGCTGGAATGCAAAAATGCTTTTAAGAGAGCAATAAACCGAAACACCACCACAAGACTTGCTCTGTATTTAGTGCCAAGGTCAAAGTGCAAGCAACCACTAGCAACCAATAAAATACTCACTTAGTGAAAGTCAGAAGGTACTCGATGGTTAGTAGTAGACTGATATTGGTCAGGCTGGTGGTCAATAGAATGAGTGACGTTTATTTACTAAACTAGTTAGGAATCTTCAATAAACTGCGTGAATATTTAATTGTTCAATCATATAAAAAGCAAATTCTGGTTCACTTTGAATACCCAATCATGTGCAGATGAAATCAGAAAACAGGCAATTACTTTTTTTGGATTGGATTATTAAAGTAAACATATACCCGAGTTGCCATCAGGTCCTCCTTCCCACATGGTTTGTATGTTTTGCAGACCATGCTCAATGTACCTTGAATTGTCCTAACCTCTACCTGGTGGGACCGCTGTGTTTTGCACTCTTAAAAACCTTTTGATAAAAAAATTATGCAAATATTGATACAATTTATTGAGCCAAGATTCTAAACTCTTTAAGTACATTAGCCCAACTGAATCTTTGTTGGACAGGAACAAGACTTAAATAAATGAGACACAGAAAACCAAAAATCCAGAAGTATGAAAAGTGAACCTTTTTCTTAAAAATGTTTGTTGTTTGAGAACACCTTTCATCACCAGCCATTTGCCAAGAATGATGTAGACCCCCTTCCCCCGGGTTGTAAATTTGGTCGCTGATGCCACGTAGGTTTTGTTCTTCCCTAGGGACCAAACTGCTAGAATGGGACTAAACTGAAGACTTACTTCCAAACCTATCTAAAAGGGGTCTATTTATAAATCTTGTTAACAATGTCACCAGTACACCATATTGAAGTGAAGAACACGTCTGTTTATTGACACTTCATGTCAAAACAAAGTTTCGGGGCCACACAGTGTCCCCTTCATCTGGCTTTTTTTTTTTCAAGCCTGATGAAGGGGACCCTGTGTGGCCCCGAAACGTTATTTGTATTGACATGTGTCAAAAGTGTCAATGAACAGACGTGTTCTTCACTTCAATATGGTGCGCTGGTGACATCTTTAACATGTTTCAGTATTGGTGGAGCCATCCGCGGTCACTTCGAGCATCCACGCTGACAGGGATACCCAGTAAGGAATACAGCAAGATTCTGGAATACGTATTTATAAATCTTTTCACTGAAGATTCACACATTTTCAACTGAACCAAATTAGAAACGTGAAAATGTTAATAAATAGACCCCCCAAAGTGTATCTTAAGCCATTTTTTTTTTTTTTTTTAGTTTTGGATAGACTAGGGAAGTATTTTAGCATTGTCTATGTCCCTGCTTTGTAGATATACACTCTCTTTTTTCCGTGACGACCATTGTCACTGGGAGTAAAATCCCAAATTTTGAGTTGTTCCAGAACAGGAACAGATGGAAAAACCACCCAATGGTGACACGTTGTCTCAGTCAGAATTTGCCTCCCTTTGCAGAAGTTTCGGTTATGTCTTCAGGACAGGAAGTGATTACTTTTTCCACAAAAACAAAACAAAAATCTTTGGTTTTAGATACTTCAACTACCTATCCCAATGTCTCCATCAAGTCCATATGAATGAACTTTAATTGTCTGTGTTAGAGGTCCATGCCTTCCGCCGGAAGTAGCTTGGATGGCACTTGGTGCCATTCAGCTCATAAGAGGACTGGTACTAGATTGCAGAGCAGTAAGTCATGAGTGGCCACACCAGAGAGGAAGTACTGCAGCCACAGCTGCCTTTATATTTTTATAAATGGCAAAACCGGACTTGAGCTTTAACTAGGCACTAGACATAATGCAATGCAACAATGTATCCTCCTATATCTTCCTTATTTCAAATCTACATAGAGAGGCTGAAAGGAAATTGCTTTTGAAGCATGGATTTATTTGGTACCACTTTGCTGTCATATAGGTAATTACAATTGAACTTCTCATCATCGATTTGACTGAAAAGATCTTTCCATTAAAAACCCCATACACTCGTATTCCATAGGACTTTCCACCATGAGTGAATATTCATTTTTGGTGAAAACATCTCTATATTAAAAGGAAACTATTTGAAGCAATCTGTTTCTAAGCATTGTGATTCCTATAGTTAAACAATTATGCTATTGTAACCCATATAGTTAACATTATTTTTAAAGAGGAAATACTACAAATTAGTCATTTTCGGTAAAGTCAATTGCAGATGGTCACCACATTATTTCTTAAAGCTATTTTCACAAGACAGCAATCTGCAGTTTCAAAACGCTGTGTCGTAAGGAAACTTGTGAAATGATCTGGCTTCAGGGTGGATTATCCAAGCAGCTCATATGCAGATTTACACTGCGAGTCTCATCGACGTCCTTTCCACTTAATGACTATTAACTGAGAATCAAAGTGCTACAAGTCCACATCAGCACTCCCATAATGTCATCCCAAGGGGACCAAAAGGGCACTGACAAGGAAGACTTCTAAAAGGTTTGCCAGCTTGGTTAAACTGTCTGTAATGGGTGTACTACACATCTTAGCAACACAAGGTAGAAACTTGGGCAGGAGTCGCCTAAAACTAGAAAGGATCACTTGTTTCAAGCTTGGACAATTCTAACTGTGCATATAACGACCCAAACTGTCCACTCCGCTCCTCCCAAGAGCTCCTGCTACCTACTTCTCGCGTCACCTTCTCTTGTGCTCACCTCCAGGATTTCTCCAGAGCCTCTCCTATCCTCTGGAACTCATTACCCCAATCTGTCCAGCTATCTCCTACTCTGTCTTTAGGTGATCACTGAAAATTCATCTCTTTGGGGAAGCCTATTCCGTCTCCTCCTAAAATCTGTACTTTTACTTTCTTCATCAGCACACCATTGAGAGATATTACCTTTTGTATGACTTGCTCCTCCTTTTAAATTGTAAGTTTTCAAGAACAGGGCCCTCTTAATCATCGTCTTGAATTGTATTATAGCTGTACTGACTCCTTTTATTTTGTAAAGCACCGCGCAAACTGTTGGTGCTATATAAATCCTGTATAATAAGATTAAGAATAATAAAAATAATATAAATGATGAAAATGTGTTGCAGACCACTGCTTACTTTACAAACATTAAATAAGCCTACATAAGACAGCCATGAAAATCCCTCGATAAATTTTTTTTTCTTTTTGGAACACTGTTCATACACTTCTCCAAGCAGAAGTCAGGCATTTTTCTTCAATTGTCTAAAACCAGTACAATGATTAAACTGGATGCTTGTTATCCAAGTAATTTAAAAAGACAGTCAGTCAGACACAGAGCAGGCACCACAGCGTAATTTGTGAAACATGCTTGGGTGCACCCAGGAAAACTGCCCTGAAAATCCTGGGTGCACAGACCCCAAACTATTTATTACAATTCTGGCTATTTATGTTGTGCTGTTTTAATCCTTAGTCATATGGTTTAAAAGAGAACTATGGGGTAAGTGTTTTTCCCCATAGTTCTCTTTAGGGTCACGGGAGGACATATGCTAACCTCCTCCCGTGACCCGCAATATACTGAGAGCGCCACATCCGGGACGGATCCCGACAACACTGTCCACCCAGCTGCGTAAGTGACAGAGGGCTCTGCCTATCTAGAGGCAGAGCCAGCTGTACCCGCCCCTTCCCCTGTTCTTTCCTCCACTCAGCGCTGTAGGATCGGAGAGAGGAATCCCTGCGGAGAGCGGTGATTGACAGTTGCCGCTCACAGCAGGGAGAGGATCGGGAAGTGAGCAGATTGGTTCACGTTTCTGCTCACATCCTAGTAGAGCCAACCTGTAACAGCTTCTTTGTCACAGGTCGGCTCTAACTATGAGGATAAGTGGAAATCACTCACCTCATAGTTCTCCTTTAAGTTAAAGTGACACTAAACTCAGGAGTTAAATCCTAAAAATGCATTCAAGTACTTTAACTACTGACAAAAATGTATCTTATTTGTGCATCACTCGGCTGTAGATCCTCAAATCATCTCTGAATTGGTGCCGACACTGTCCTTCCTTCTGGAGGGTGGCTACTTTTTTTTCCCCATGGTCCCTGTGTGTGCTGTAAAGTAGGCACCGCTCCAAGCTCACTCCCATGGACTACAACCTCATGTTTAGTTTAATCATTTGTACTGAGATTGTAGTCCATCACAGGAGTGAGCTTGGAGCGGTGACTACTTTACAACACATACAGGGACCATGGGGAACAATAGCAGCCCCCCTCCAGAAGGAAGGACAGTGTCAGCACCAATTCAGAGATGATTTGAGGATCTACAGCTGAGTGATACACAAATAAGATACATTTATGTTAATAGTTACAGTACTTGAATGCGTTAAGATTTAGCTTCTGAATTTAGGGTCTACCCTACCACCCTGCTATCCTATGAAAGCAAATCTGTGGCCAAATTGAAACAGTGAGCGGCAGTATGGGTGGTGAATAAAAAAACCACAGATATAATGTGTAGGGACCTCTAGATGCACAGATGTAAATTAAGAAATGATCAGGGGACTTGTGGGCACGTTCTGGTGCCTGCTTCTTACCCATTACACTAGCTGCTAACATTTGAGAAAGTCAACAGGTTCACTTGAAGTCATCCCTAGCTTTGTTCACCTCAGGCCAGCAGTACAAAGAAACCATGTGGAAGACTTTGCAGAATACAGTTCTTTTGCATTGTATCTCCTTCTTCTTGCCCAGGCTGTATTGGTTATTAAATGCTGCCTCTTTGTGGCCAAAATCAAAATAACATGACTGAGCATAAAAGAAGTCAAAGCCCAAGCAGCATTAGAATGCCAGTTTATTGCACATTCAGGATCTGTACAGAATTCTATAAATAAGAAAGACTGGTATATTTACATAGTGCTCTCCATGCAGTGGTGGACAATGGCTGGTATGGGGCATCAAATACCTTAATATTTACACTCTGTACCGTAAGGTTCCACACCTGCCTGCGAAATGTGGTAACCTTTTTTTCTTTTACATATATACGCTAGAAGCCCGCAATGGCTGTCCATGGTTTTTTTTTCTGTCCGTCAGCCCATGGGGGGAAAGTTCTGAAGCATGCTTTGCTTGAACATCAGACACAGCACTCAGAGTGGGAGCTAGAATGCAAGCCTTTGGGTCCTGCAAATCCAGAGAGGCCCTATACAAGCGGCCGTTGACCGCAACACTATCGCACAACAGAACGCGGGGCCTTGAAGGGGTGCAATGATGATCTTGTTTTGGAACAGTTGTGTGGTATTCACTGCACAGAGGCCAGAAACACACAAACACACACACAACACTAAAGCAGAGGGGGATCTGTAAAATGCAGTCACGACACATGGTGAAGTCACTACAAGGGAGACTGTTCGGCCTCCGTGTACAGGAGGAATGTTACAGTAGATCGCCAATGGAATTGCTGTCAGCGGAGCCGGCAGTCAGGGAAGGGATGAAGCATAGCGCACACATTCAGTGAGTGGTCACAGGTCAGTTATTAGGAAGGGGGGGAGAGGTCAGCTGGACACAGGTCGAGGGGGTCTGTTCTTCATCTCCGCTTCCTTCCCTCGGATGGCGGCCACGTAGGAGAAGAGACACAGGACAGAGTAGCAGATCTCGTGGGCCTGGTAAAAAATAAAAGAAAATAATGAGACTTTGAAGAAACAAGCACCCTCTACGTATTGGGTGTTCTAGATGAAAGTGTAGGAAAGAAGATCTGTTTATGAATGCAAAATAACATTTAGAGTGACAGGGCCTCAATGCAAAAGCCTCCGACTGCCCAATTTGGTGCCAGAGGTGCAGTCTTTTCAATAACATTCAGTAATACGTTGCCTTCTTTTATCCTTTTAAGCCTTCCAGAGGTTCATACAATAAAATATTGATTTATATTTGGTGGAATACTGTTACTTTACAGAAGGCCATTCCTAGAAGAAACACATGATGAAGCTACTCCTTGCCAGGCTACCTAAATCATCTTTTTTGGCCAAGTCCCCAGCGTCAGGACTCCCCCTCTCCCTTTACTTCCCTGCTCCCAGGCACCTTGATTCTTAACAAAGGGTTAAAGATCTTAAGGCTTAGGTAGTTGTAGGTTAATACAATGCCTTTCAGTCTGTCCCTCATCTGCACATTCCCATCTATTCTAAGCATTAGGGTCGGCCCGTAATGTCTCATGTATAATCCTGCTCCAAAGACACAACTAGAAAACGTAAGAAATATTTTTAATAAATTTTTAGATATTCTGTGCGAATGATAACACGTGAACATATGCTAAGGGTTTCTTGAATTTCACTGCAAAGATGGAAACACACTTTAAACATAATCCTGTATTGTTGGCACATTTATATCGAGCCAGACTTCAGTCTACCAAGTGACTTGTATTTTGGGAAGATCGGGCAACAATGAAATGTTTAAGGTGCCTGTAGTTACTGCCAGTCGAGGCAATGATTGATTCGAGAAGAGCTGTTAGAAGAGGGGGCTGGACCACTAAAGTCTATGGCTAGTGGAATGTCTGCAGATTCAAACTTTAGGAAATGTATGTTACATTTAACTTTAGCACTACCCGGTTAGTGTATGTAAGGGCTAAATATAAATAAATCAGTACATGTCTGCAATACATGCACATTTCCCCACGCTGAAAGTACAGAAAAAAACTTGTTGATCTTGCAGAAATCATGTATGTACCCAACTTCCTGTTTAAGCTGGCAAAACAGTGCCTATGCTGCAGTGAAATCCCAACCAGAGTTGTCCTGCTTGCTGGACTACAGAACTCCAGCTATACTCCACCCCTCTCTGTCCCTTTCAACATACATGCACTTCTTTTCCAGAAAATCAATGCTATAGCTTTGATTCCCAAGAGCCTGCTAACACATCATGTATAGATAAAGGGCTCTTGGGAGATGTAGTTCTAGGGGTGTGCCTACATCAAAAGTAACTAAGCTGGTTGCAGGGCAACCAGCAGTTGCCTGCAATAATTTTACAAGCCTGGCGATGGCATCACGGGGAGTAATAAAAGCAGCTTTTCACTGCAGGCACGAGGTGAAAAAAAACCCCCAAAAGAATGCAGTGACTTACTCTAGAGAGGAAGGGGAGGCTTGGAGGGTAATTCAGGTCTTGATGCAAATGGACACTGGAGGGTAATTCAGGTAATGCCTTGACATACACTTTAATCTGATGTGAACCTGACGTTGCCCCTCTGATATCAGCGAATGTCAAGGCTGTCATACAAGGGTCCTTTTTAAGCAGTGGCCATAAATGGTCAAATTTTCAGGTTTTGTTTTCTTACTTTTTGCAGAAGTGATTTAATATTTGCCTCTGGTTTGAGGATTACCATGTCTGTTCCAATTGTCTTCCCCTTAGCCCCTTAAGCAACATCTAGGCCCCTGTCCTTCTACTGCTTATCAGAAGTCCAATGGAGACCAATTTTTACGAATTTAACATATCAAACTTTGTAGCAGATGCATGGAGAATCATTCTATGATGTCATCAAGGGGGTTAGGGTTTCTTGACTATTAATCGGGCAGCAGGGTCCATACTAGGGGTGCACCGGTATTAGTATTGGTGCCGATACCGAGTATTTAGGCAAGTATTTGCTCCGATACCTTCCCCGACACCGAAACTTCGTGTCATAGGGGAACATGGAGCCGGATTCCCGGGTAATCAGGAAGCCGGGTGGCGAGTAATGGCTGTTCTGCCGGCAATCCAGGTTCATGCCGATTGGCTGGGAGGCCGGCTTCCCGACCAATCAGCATCAAGCCGGCCGAACAGCCAAACCGCAAGGAGCCGACTGTTCGAAAGGGCTCGCTGCGGATTGGCCAGGAAGCCAGCTTCCCAGCATGGAGCGGGCTTTCCGGCCAATCAGGAAGCCGGGTCATCACTCATCGCCTGGCTTCCTGATTGGCTGGGAAGCCAGTTCGATGGTCATTGGCTGGGAAGCCGGTTTCCTGGCCAATCACAATCGAGCCGGCCAAACATGGAGCCGGCTTCCTGGACAATCAGGAAGCTGGGCGGCATTTCATTACCCGGCTTCCTAATTGCCCAGGAAGCCGGCTCCATTCCAGCAGAAGCACTGGTATCGGCCGAAAAACCGTTGTCTTAATGCCACCATAGCAACTAATGCCTCTGATCTACAGGAGTATACAGCTTCGAACGGTGTCCATGCACATCTGATTTCTTTGAGAAAAAATCCCAACAATTCTATGAAAACTGAACCGTTTATCCAATTTTTAGTCACTTTTGCTTTTTTAGGTCTGACCAAAATGAAGTTATGGAAAGGGATGGAAATGTTCAATAGTTTTCGATGAGGCTGTAATGTTGTATAATTAAACTTATTTTTACAATCTGATCTTTTTCTGCATGGAAAATAACAATGAGAATGTATTGATGATTAGAATTTAGATTTGAAATTCTCATCCTAATTTGTCTTGCGAGTGACACCGTGAAAATAAAATACTCTGGAAGAAAAAATAAATAAAAATGGAGATCGAACCTAAAAATAAAAACAAAGACAAGAGGCAGAAGGGGGCTTAGAGAACATCCATGGCCTATCAGATTACAGTGCACACTGGCCTCCAAATATAAGGCTGGGGCTTTCATCTTGACTAACAGCCTTTAAATTTAGCTTGACGTACACATTCTCATGAGACATCTGTGACACAGTTGTGTCTTCCAGCGCAGTGATGACACCTAGTTAGGCTACATAATGGTTGTCACCACTTAAATCGATTGGGCGCTGAAGTACTTGAGACGTTGCTATTTTCAAGCCGGCTGCCCATAAATCTCTTCTGAGGCTTCATTTACCCACTGCAGTAATTACTAGCACAAGCTGACATCACCAGTGTCATCTTCCCATAATGGAACCACCATATGGGTGTCTGCAGCCAAAGTACTGCTACTGCCCACTTTAACTGGGATAACTGATCCTGTCACAGGGGTACTCATCAAATAACGCATCCTAACTACCTTTACATCACGCTGGAGATCCGATACTAGAATCACAGAGTCTATGTAATGGCAGACTGCTGGCTTCTTGCAGAGTCTAAGTTCAATTTCAGTCAAAACTTATTTTTAGATTTTATTTTAATCTATGCAAAACTAAGAAAAAATCAGTTATGGCTGGGGTTGTGAAAAGGCATTTGCAATGCATGTTGTCATTTTTTTATTGTAAATCCCGCCAGGAAGTTTCCTGCTAGATATAGTGTTGGAGGGGCTAAGCTGGACCTTTTTACACAATTTCCCTAAGTAGCTTCAGCAGCAAGGGTGGCAATTAGGGATGCACCAATACCAGTTTTTCAGTATCGAGTACCGATATTCATATTTCGGAACTCGCCGATACCGAGTACCGATACCGGTACTTCCGGTAGCATAGAGCCGGGCAATCAGGAAGCCAGGCAGCGCGTCATTACCCACCAACCAGCTTTTTGATTGCCCGGGAAGCCGACTCCATTCTGTTTGGCTGGCTCGAGGCTGATTGGCCGGGAAGCCGGCTCCCAGCCAACCAGTGTCGAGCCGGGTAAACAAATCTAATATAGCGAAAGGACCCCCACCTTGCAGACAAATCATAGCCTCACATAGATCCTTAGCAGCAGTCATTACCGTACCAGTCCTTCGGCCAGCTGGGCAGACACCACTCTCCAAGCTCTCCGTGATCTGCACACGTCTCCTGTGTGTACAGCGCCCACGTGATCGGCCCTCAGCCTGCTACTGTGCAGACTGCCCAGCGCTCTCATTCAGAAATCCAGTGCATGCTCAGTAGCAGGCTGAGGGCCAATCATGGGAGCGCTGTGCACACAGGAGACGTGGGCAGATCCCGGAGAGCTTGGAGAGCGGTGTCTGCCCAGCTGGCCGAGGGACTGGTACGGTAATGACTGCTGCTAAGGATCTATGTGAGGGGAATGATTTGTCTGCAGGGCGGGGGTTGTGTCACCATATTATCAGTTTTCTTTGCCCGGCTTGACACTGATTGGCTGGAAAGCCAGCTTCCCAGCCAATCAGCATGGAGCCGGCCAAACAGCATGGAGCCAGCTTCCCGGCTCCATGTATCCTCGCGGCACTGCCGGTCAGGGGAAACCTCCCTCTGACCAGATGTTCCAGTATTGGGAAAGGTATCGGTACCAGTACTCGCTCAAATACTCAGTATCGGCGCTGATACCAGTATCGGTGCATCCCTAGTGGCAATGCTGCAGTGATTTTACTGCAGAAGCATTCTTGTCACCCTATCAAAGAAAGTGCCTAATCAACAGTTCCACTCACAAAATCAACAGGTATTTACAAAATGATCCAGAGGGTACTTCAAAAAAAACAGAGAACCCAATCTTACTGGTATATGCAGCCTACGTCACATTTGCGATTTTATAGTTTGGTCATAGTTCTACTTTAAACTGTGAACGAGTATGAAAAGCAATCAAAAAGGGCAGCAGATAACCCAATATTTTAATTACAGTTGTATGCATAGATAGAACACTCATTATAAAATCTTCATGAGATTCCAGACCATATGCTGTCACATGGCCTGAAAATTGGTCACCGGATAGATGCCCGATTTACCCCGTGTGCCCATTCAGTCCCCCAAACCCACACAATAATTTTAGGAGTCACAGGCCCGCGTTTTGGCTACTTACCATGGGTGTCTTGTACCGGTGGCTCACCACTTCTTTAGTTTCAGGAACTAGAACCAGATCCAAGAGACAAAACAGAGAGTTCAAAAAAACACAGAGAGAAAGCACAAGACCAGAGGGAGAGAGAGGACACCCAGCCAGGGGCCTATGGAGAACACCCAAGGGGACGAATGGTCACAGACAGGATGATACAGAGGAGTTAGGACCACAGGGTCACAATGTTAGCAGTGAATCAAGTAGCACAATGACACCCAGGGAAGCAAGGTCAGTAGAATTAATTAGGCAGCACTGGTTAGTTATCTTATTGAGGAGGAGAGCTTAGAAGCTTTTACTACAAACAAGTAGCTAATTAATTAAAATGTCCGCAGCCAAGATTATTATTGTTAAGTCTTTGAGCAGTTAGTCTGGGGAAATTAAGTAAAAGCAGTAAATATTTTTAAAGGGTCAGTCCATACATACATTTTTTTTTAAGTTATAGGTGCTCGTTGGAGGGCTCAATCAACGACTTGCTTTTTACTTGGAGGACTCCAACATTTTCAATTAGAGTTGAGGGCTCTGCCCTACTGGATAGTTTCTCGCTCTTTATGTTGCATTCTACATAAATGAAAGAGCTCCATTGGGGAACGGACAGCCCCTCATAAATTCCGGTGGGCACAGTCTGGAGTTCAGACATTTCACCACTGTAGTTCCTTAAAGATAAAAGCAGCCATTGGGTGATTGAATCCTCCAACATAACCGAATCAGCAATACAATTTTAGGGTGGACTAATCCTTGAATGATTTCAGTTAAAGGGGACCCATGTTTGGTATATGGAGGAAGCTGCCATGATGTGGCTTGAACCAAAAACAGATCAGAGTATACAGCAACTAGTAGGACCAGTAATGTTTTAGTGCGGTCACTAGTTACTAATAATCAAGTTGCCTGAACATTAGCTCAACTCACAACATGACTGCAGCCACCGTATGCGCATGGTACAATTCAAATGGCTTATTCAATAAAGTGCAAAAATGATATACAAAGAATAGTGATTAATGAAAATAGGTACTATAATTAGTTGCTATGTGTTATTGCATTTGATCTTTCTGAAGCACAAAGATGAGGCAACGTTTGTCAGTACAGTGGACAAAGCAGGTCTGCAATGCTATGTTGGGCCAACAGGAGACGTTAGGAGACCAAAAAAAAAATACTTCCAGATCACATTCATTGCAGCAGTGGTGCTCGATGCTGGCCCAAAGGTCAACTAACAGTGTATGTCTTCCCTATTAATACACAGGGGCATAAAATGACCATTCAAAGCTTATCTTTCAGTTACAGGTATAGACTAGTGCAATGAGCCACCTGGTGGCTTCCGATATGTTTTCGAGACTCCAGTGGAGAAATCTTCTACCATTAGTTTCTGGATGTGTTCCCACCTAACTCGGTTGTTCCAGTCCTTCCTTCATCATATAAAATACATAAAAATATAGAAGAGCCAGACCCCTAAATAAAGGTTGCAGCCAATGTGGAAACTTAAGTACAGATATTTATGCAATAATTTCCTTGGCAGACATAAAAAAAAAAACCTCCTGGAAGTTTTCCTTTTTCGGATTTAACAAAAACCTAAATCTGAGGTTTGGGCGGACTTATTCTTTCACTATTAACATGTTTAGGTGCAAATCAGTGATTAAGACATTTAAAATTATCCCACATGGAGCCAAAAATGTTTGCATGCGCCACAATTCATCTACTTCAAATAAAAAAAAACACATACATTATGCATTTTTGCATGAACTAAATTCCGTTTTATGCAAACCATGGCATAAGAGTGTATACGATTAGGCTGAAAATATAACTACTGAGTGAGGTGTTTTTTATCCCCGCGTATGTAGCAATTTGTATAAAAACCAGCAATATCTGTAAAAAAACAACAAATAAACAGAAAAAAAAACAAAAAGGCACTGTTAGGTGGTCTTGAGGTCCGCAGTTGAGCACCAGTGACCAATGAAGTACAGTAATCTGGTCTAATAAAGAATATGGAGTTAGATTGCTAAATTTCTGGGTCTTAGGATCAAACAATTACATCTAAAAGTCAACCTGCACTTGGTTTTATGATTTGGAAGTGTATTTATAGCCATTTTTGTATTGTTTTGGATAGAATTTGGAAGGGATAACATCCCAGCCAGTCTTTTATACTGTTTGTATTAAATTGAGGAGCTTTGCCTTTACTTCCTGTCCCAGAAATGCAACAGGAAGTGAGAGGAAGACTCTACAAAGTAGAAAACCTTCTAAAATAATTGTCACCAACTTTGGACTATACATACACTTTAATATTAAAATAGGCCAAGGGTATACATAACAAGATGCCTGCTACTATTAGCCAAAACATTCTGTGCTCCTCTTGTTTTGTTTCACTTCATTACAGGAGTGTTTCTTTGACTTCATGACTAAAACTGACCATACACTATATGAATTTCGGCCGGTTCTTGATGAAATGGCCAAAATTTGCACCGTGGGTTCCCGCTGTCAGCACCCTTTCAGCTGGCATCCCTCGATCCGCTGACCAAAGGAGCCAGTAGGAAACTCTTAGCAGGAAGAGAGCCGGCAGTCAATGAGCTGTTCGGGTATTCTAATGAAGACAGCGGGCGTTTCCTCAATCATTGCTTGCTTGTTAGTAGGGATGCACCGATACTGGTTTTTCAGTATCGAGTACCGATATTTTGCTTTCGGTACTCGCTGATACCGAGTACCGATACTGGTGCTTCCGCTGTCATTGAGCCAGATTCCTGGGTAATCAGGAAGCCGAGTGGCGGGTAATGACATGCCGCCCGGCTTCCTCATTGACCAGAAGTTTGTTGACACCTGGTCTGGCTCCATGTTGTTTGGCCGGCTCAGTTGTGATTGGTCGGGAAACCGGCTTTTTGTCATTACATGTGGCCCGGCTTTTTGATTGCCTGGGAAGCTGGCTCCATGTTGTTTGGCCGACTCGATTGTGATTGGCCGGGAAACCCGCTTCCCAGCCAATCAGCATCGAGCCAGCTTCTTGGCCAATCAGGAAGCCAGGCGACGAGTAGTGACCTGCCTCCCGGCTTCCTGATTGGCCAGGAAGCCGGCTGCATGATGATTGGCGAGGACATTTTCCTCTGACCAGAAGTTCCGCTATCGGGGAAGGTATCAGAGCATTTGGGCGAGTACGAGTACTCGCCCAAATACTCTGTATCAGCACTGATACCGATAGTAGTATCAGTACACCCCTATTTGTTAGCATTAATGGAGGAATCTAATATTTTCTTCGCTCAGCCCGCAGGTTGAACAAAGAAATTATTACAACATATGGCCAGCTAAAGCCTTACTGACTACAATTCCATTGTCCAATGAAGAGCCCTTTTTAGTCATTGCAGCAATCTAATTAGTCTATAAGCCGGGCAAAAGCAGGCGCAGGATCAAAGTGAAACATACATTAGAGAGGGGCATAGAAGAATCTTCTCTGGCTAATATGACACAAGGCCTTCTGTTATGTATGCTCTTAGGAATGACTTTACTTTTAAATAGAGTACATGTTAACTTTTAACATAAGTCGTTATCTCAGCCACTACTACAACAAAAGCGAGAGATACAGATGGGTGGGGAGGCACAGGAGTTGCTGGGGAGGCAGACAAAGGGTCGGTGAACATTCACACACATTGGACAACGAACAGACGATATAGACATTATCAAACACATGCTGTAGGTCAAATTATAAAGCTGTCTTTAGTGTCAATCTTGGGGCACACACTTCAGTATTGTCAGTGGGAAAACTCATAGAACAAAATAAAAGGTGATATATTTGAAGCTAAAAATGAAGCTACTTAGTGTCTTGAAAGCCTAAAGAGATTTTACACTATTGGCTTAATTCACAAAGCTGAAACATCGGGATTAGGATCCTTATTTTAAAAATTGTTGTCGTTATTTTCAGCTTTGTCATATGAGATTTGAAAGAACAGTCACAGGGCAGAAAGACAATAAAAAGCTGCTTATCCTTGTGTAAAGATTTGTGAATTGAGCCTTATGGCTACCTGTTAAATGTAGGAGGTATCTCATTAATTTAAAAATCTATCCAATCTCATCTTAACCCTTTTAATAAAGAGAACTAGTCATTTTTCTACTAGCCCATGGGGTATAAAGTGCATATTGTGCGGTCTACTTGGATGCAGCGCTCCACTTCTTAGAGTCCCCCTCCTGCCTGGAAGATGGGATAACATCATGACTTGTTATATAAAGGATGTGGCGGTGATAAGCGAGAGATGATCGTATGTTGGTTCTAAGCTTATGTCATTAGAAGCCAAGCTGAAACCATACACCTCTGCTGCCTCCAACCAACATGCAGCTTTGCTGGTCTAGGTCTCATTTGCATAGAGTAATCTTGAATTTGTACAGCTGGAGCAGTGGCTGCTGAATACCATAGCCGGCAGCAGGGATACCTCCATCCATGCTGTTTAGCAAGTATGGGGCAAACTATGGATTTCCCATATTCAGCTTGCGGGGCTGAATCTGAGAATGGCCAGCTTAAGAAGAAAAGTCAACCTTTGCCTAGAAACTTCATCAGCCTATATATATTTCTTCAATTGCCTGGACTGCTCAGGTTTTTAACTCATGATGTGTGTTGAGTCCTATCCCAAGCAACATCAACTTTGTGAATAGAGCCTAGCGGATAGGAAACAAGTCTCACTCTACATTTTGTCAAACAATCTTTTCGGTCATATATCTGAAACAATATCTAGATGGTGGGAATCCGCCTGCATGTGTTTTGGTGGTGGTAGGGGGGAGGGGAGAGAGATCATTTGGACAGTCTGCAAGTGCTCAGAGCTAAAGGTACTTTAGAACTCACACGCCTTAAAGTGACACTAAACTCAGGAGTTATATCTTAAAAACAATTACCATAAATGTATCTTTTTTTGTGTATCACTTGGCTGTAGATCCTCAAATCATCTCTGAATTGGTGCTGACACTGTCCTTCCTTCTGGAGGGTGGCTACTTTTGTTCCCCATGGTCCCTGTGTGTGTTGTAAAGTAGTCACCACTCCAAGCACGCTCCTGTGATGGACTACAATCTCATGTTTAGTTAGCTAATTTGTACTGAGATTGTAGTCCATCACGTGAGTGAACTTGGAGTGGTGACTACTTTACTTTTGTTCCCCATGGTCCCTGTGTGTGTTGTAGCCACCCTCCAGAAGGAAGGACGATGTCAGCACCAATTCAGAGATTATTTGAGGATCAACAGCCGAGTGATACACAAATAAGATACATTTTTGTTGAGGTGCTTGAATGCATTTTTAAGGTTTAACGCCTGAGTTTAGTGTCACTTTAATGGATTTTCCACTTTCAGTGGACAGTTTATGCTTCTTGCCTTGATCTACTTTCCTGCAGCATTTATTAAATACATTCAGGGGAATTTATCAAAACTAGAGCAGAAGAATCTGTGGCAACCAATCAGCTTCTCTCTTCAGTTTGTTCAGTTAAGGTTTGAAAATGAAAGGTGGATGCTGATTGGTTGCCATGACCAACTACTCCAGATTCTGTCTGCTCCAGTTTTGATAGAATTTTCCCTAGTTGTCTTTCTTTCTTTATGATGTATTAATGAATGCAGAGCTGAATTAATTTGTGTATTTTTACATATGTCTGGAGTTCAGCTTTAAGTCCGAGCTTTACTCTTCTTGCAAATGTAATAAAGTAAAGAAGGCAAATGAAAAACTTTGTAAGCAGAATGTATTACCCGTTTCGTTTGCTTTTGTTGGCACAGGTTCTTGTTCACATTTTCTAGTGAGAGCAGGGAAATTACAAATACATGGAATGTATTGTATAACTGTACACAGCTCTGTCTACAGTTTCACTATGGCATCATACAAAGCATGAACAACTACCAATAGACATAAAGGCTGCTCCAAGGGCCTGTACCAGCATAAGACAACAAGGAAAAGATCAAATACCATTTGTAAAATCATTTCCCTCTTTTACTTTACAAAAGACATTTGAAAGAAAGGTGGGAACTTGTCATGATAGAATATGGCAGCACTTGCTAACAATTCTTGAGTTACTGACCCAGAATGAGCATGCGGGCAGTCAAGTCGCAATACTTGCCTATACTTTCTGGATCAGTGAAACTTCCATTAAAGCAAAGGTCAGGTTGACCATCCAAGAAGCTCGTAAAACTTCATATTTTGCCAACCCTTTTTTATTCTAACAGGTTCAATGGGTAAAATACAATTTTCTTTACTCAATTTCATGTTATTACTATCTAAAGGTTTAAAATCATAAAGTGATCTTTATATAATATCACTTGTATGAAATCTTTATTAGTTCAAGGTGCTGCCATGACACTGTGTTTATAAAGCATATGGGCATTATGATAAGATGGAAAATTAGAATCTACTCGGTTTAGATACTGCTATACAGGTCCCATATTGAGTAGACAGCAGCCATACAGCCCACAAATGGGGGCTGCATGGGTTGTAGAGGAGGTGGCCTTCTGTGTAAGTTCTAAAGAGCAGATCAAACAACTTGCAGCATAGTAGTAAAGTGACTTGGCAGGAGTACTCAAGAAGTGACTTAACTGCACAAAGTACTGCCTGAAAGTGAGGATTCAATATTTCCTATTTACAGGCTTGAAAGCAAAAACACATGTTCCCTATATCTTCGTAAGATAAAAAGACCATTTTGCAAGTCTATCTACCCTGAGCGCCTCTAGACAGCTAGCTGACGTTGCATATTACCTGATCTGGAGAAGGAAGGTTTTCAGAGCTGCCACAGGCAGATGGTGGAGCGGATTATACAGCAGTAACTCAGATACCCCTCACAGATCTTTCTATGGACCCTTGCAATCTCCTAAAAGCACAATGACGGTATTTACCAAATTCCTCCAAGACAAAGACGCCCCGTACAGTGTTACACTTTTTAATGTGATTCAGCTGTATGAAAACCTGGAAGGAGAGAGGGGACAGAAAAATGGGAAAGGAAAAAGGTACAGAGGAGGAAGAGGGACAGAAGGGAATAAGGAGAGAGATTTTGAGGGAAAGGGAGAGAGACAGAAGGCACTGGTTAATTTTTCATATCCAGGATTTCCACTGGTGCTCACAACATTTCTGTAACAGACTGATGTGTGAAAGGGGAAAAAAACAGCTTTGGAGTAATGGGAAGACGTACCCTAACACAGCAAAATATCAGCAGGTTAACCATAACTAGAAAGGGAGAGAGCAGCGAGAAGCAAAGATGGCGGCAGAGTGAGTACCTTCCGCTCCTTGCAGGAGGAGTGAGCGTGGGAGAGAAATGAGACTGTTAGTGACACAGTGAGACCACACTTCCCCTCACTTCCTAATACCCCAGCAACACACAGCCCAGACCAAGACATCAACACGGGGAGGCCAGGAAAAAGCAGCCCCGTTATCAAATCCATCCCTGCTCCTCACCCAGCACGGAGCGCAGGCCTTGCTCAGGCTGCATTGAAGGGGGAACTCCCTGGCTATTGCTTTGACTCGCAGCTTGTTTTTTTTTTTCATTTCATTTTTCCTTTATCGTTTTGTAGCCAGTGGACGCACTGAAGACCTCTAAACACTGTTATCTTCCTTCGGTTCCCTCTCGATCGTTCTACTATGAGATGAAGAGCCGAATGATCCCTAAAATGACCTGCGGAGCCCTGGGTGACCTTGTGATGACTTGAAAAGGACACCGCGGTGACCTGGAGGATTGCATTCTGCCCCTGGGTGACCTGTGGATGAGCTGTGTATGGAGGGTCAGCACTGGGAGAGGTCAGCCCGAGCCAGGGAGGGAGGTTACAAAGAGACAGCGCCAGACACCACCCACCCCCGGCAGGCAGAGGGCAGCATGGAGCAGAGACAGCGAGAAACGGAACATGTGTCACATAGCTACAGCAAGCAGAGAAAACACAGACTGAGAGACAGAGGGGAGCTCAAGATATAGGGGTACCCGGCACTCTGCAACTTGCATCCCCCCCAACACTTACATGTTGCCCACCCCGGGCCCCTGACATGACTACACTGCAAAGAAACACTTTACACACATGTAATGGGTTTATGGGAATAAAACACAACTCATGAAACACAAAGCACATAACGTTACTGGACTCAGACGGGCACACCAGCTACATGATCACCTATAAATTCCCATAATACAGTGCTTGCGTCCCCTCTATCTCCCATACCCTATGTACTAACGAGCAGACCACACACTCCCTAGGTCATACTCCCCTCCACATTCACACTCCCCTCATACCTGACTGTGCATGAATTTCAGATTAATCCCTTCCAAGGTCACCTGAAGAAGACCCCCTTCCCCAGTCTTCATGTCTTGAACAGGGAACTCACCGCCAAGCTCTGGACCTACAAAAGAACATTTAGGACAAGAAGGCTGAGCACAACCAGAATTCCAAATGACCTGCACTGTAGTGACCAGGCACTACAGATTTAACCCCTTTCCCTCGTGCAATCCGCATATAAACATTTCTTAGCATTATGCTCTGTGCTGGGGAACAGTTTATAAATATTCATACTTTGAGAGCCAGCAGTTTACACTTTGCATGGTTGGTGGCACTCAACCCCAGCTGTCACTGACATCTTGGGCTTCTGCTGACCACCTGAAACCAATTAGAGTGGATTCCAATCATGTGATCACTATGCCAGGTATCGCATAATGATCCAGTTCAGGCTGGAAGCTTTGCTTATAAAATAAGCCTTTTCTATTTAATAATGTAATTGTCAAATACAGTATTGTTATTAAATAACAAATCAAAATAGAACACAAATGTAAAAAATGTTTTCACTTTTTTGTTTGCATTGGTCAGTGTATAATAAAGCATTTGCTTTACTTAAGGGCTAGTTCACACCAGCCACAGTGCGTTCTGGCCCGATTGGTGCCGGAGCGCACTGGATCGCATTTCGACCGGCTCACTGTGTTTTGGGGCGAGAGAGGGTGTGGCGGTGCATTGAACTCAATGGCACCGCAGCCACGCCCTCCGGCCGCAATGCGATCGGCCTCACAGGAACGCATGGCACATAGTGTATGTACTATTTTTTCGGACTGCACCGGACCGGAACGCAGGCACTGATGTGCCACGTGTTCCCATGAGGCCGATCGCATTGCGGCCGGAGGGCGTGCCTGCAGTGCCATTGAGTTCAATGCACCGCCACGCCCCCTCCCTTCCCAAAACAAAGTGAGCTGGCCAGAATCAGCCCGGAATGCACTGAGGCTGGTGTGAATTAGCCCTAAAACAGTGTACCAAATAAAAGCCTAATATGTTGTTAAAACATATATAAAATTATTTAGGTATGCAAATTAGAGAGATTTATAAATCAGTAAATGAGGCATTCACCAAACATTCACAAGTGGTTAACTATGCCTGTAATCTAAAAAAAACACATGCGCCAGAAAGATGAACCTGAGGTGAATATTTGTTGAATGTTATATTCACTGCTTTATAAATAGAGTTCACCCACAACTTGCTGATGCTACTAAATTAAAGGATGACTATACCCTCAAGAAACAAAAATGTATTTTGGTCATTATACATTTGCAAACTACCTAAACTTTCCAAACCTGTAGAAAAACTGAGATATTTACAATTTAAGTAAATTCAGTAAAAATAACATTCGTGGTTTGATTATTACAAGTGATATGATACATGCCACACAGCATGGTGAATTGAGCCTACACACAGCATAGTGAATTGAGCCTATAATAAGGCTACCAGCTTTCTGCAAAAAAACAAAAACATACAGGTACTCCACAAGCTACTAATAATTGCTATAACACTATCAGGGTTATTCCCAAGAGGGTGAAGGGTTTGGAGAAGGCAGGAGAAGGGAACAATCTAGGACAACATGGCTGAACTGGAAAGTGAGCTGAATTGGAGAATTTTTCCAGTTCAGCCATGTTGTCCTAGATTGTTCACTTCTCCTGCCTTCTCCAAACCCTTCACCCTTTAGTGAATAACCCTGTACATAATGCTAGAGAAGTGAGGAGTCACCTGGTTTAATGCTTTGCTGTCGTGCTGCTGCTCGCTCCATGCTCTCCTTCACGCAATAATACAGCTCCCGACACTGGAATGGTAAGGTGAGAAAGGTTTAGGAAAGAACAAGCTTGAGGTCAAATTCTTCATAAAATAAAATTTTTGTTTTTCACCCCAGGTGATAGGTTTAGTATCTGGAACATATCTAGAACAAAATTAGAAACAGAATATTCTCTTTGGGAAAACAATTGTGCCCAGACCAAGAAAAACAAAATGCAATACTGTATAGGGGCGATGCATAACGCCACTACCAAGAAGGCCCAGTGAACTGCTGCCTCTATGGGCAGCCATTAGAGCATATTGTTTTTGATGATGTGATATGAATGGAGTATATGTTATGTACATGTCTGTAAACTTTTAAAATGGTATAATAAAAAGTATTGAAGTTAAAAAAAAAAATTGAGTCCTGGAATGAAACTGTAGCGATGGCATCTTCTGGTAACATCAGCCCAGCATTTTCCATTGTTCTTGTATGGTCCACTAAGCCAAAGGCATTTAGCTTCTGATTATTATACGTCAAAAGGTAAAACTATGTAATCCTTAAACACACCAAGGTTAACGCCAGTCTAGCAAAGCAGAATGCACTAGTTGCCTGCAGATTCCTTTAAATCCATTCAGCACATCTTGAATGGCAACCCAGCGAACCTGGGGGAATGCTTACTGAAATCTCTGACTCCAGCTCCAGATGCATGGCATGCCCCTGTGTCATTCCACAAAGCAGGTATCTCAGTACTTATCAGAAGAAGACAACTGCCTGGCAGACCAGAGCTCTAAATCAAAAAGAAAGAGTACCAGGGGCTTCCTGGGCACCCAAGGGATGCTTGAAGAATGATGCACAAAGACAACTGGGTGTGCCTTCTTTGCTGGACTTCTGTTACCCTGAAATGTTTTGGGATGACACAGGTTTTATTTAAAGTGGTGCTCTTCTCTAAAATGAAAGATGCTCCTGATGTTGCTTACAAGAAGTGGACGTGGTAGGAATCTCAAAGTACACCCCTTGTTTTAGTGTAGAAGGGGATCTACACTTGAGTGTCATTAACAATTGAGCAGATTTATCAGAACTCTGTTAGTTCTCCCAGGTCCCAGGACACCCATTCTCAATGATGAACATAAGTGTCTATACCTTATCAATAAGCCTCACAATACCTCAGGTACAGCTTTAAGCATTTAACATGTGGCTACCTATCAGATAACTGTTCCGAAGTTAGCCATAAGTCATCCACTCACCCAGTTCATTTGGGATAACAGAAGACCTTTGCAATATAAGCCCTGCCTACAAAAGGTTGGAAGTAAAAGCTCCACACTGGTCTGTACACCACCCTGACAGGACATGTCCTAAGAATTAGACATAGTGGTCACACTGTTCCCCAATTTCCCCTTCTCCTAATTACTTTTGATATCTCTAAATAGTTGATTTGATTGACAGAGAATGTGTGAACCTTTTGCACACCTCCTGTGTACTTAGACAGTATACAGGCTTTCTGGCCAAAACATATACAGGCTTTCTGGCCAAAACATAATCACTTCAGGGAACCCTCCTACTTATGTTCATGACTTACCTTTTTGGTGAAAAACTTGTTGAGTTGGGTCTCTTGTCCGTTTCTTCTCCACAGACAGAGCACTTTTGTCTTAGGGCAGTAGGTCATATTAATGAGTTTTTCATACCACCAGCGTTCATACACAGCTCCAATGTTACTGCGTAATACAATACAGTCATCGCAAACCTAGAAGACACCAGGACTTTTCATTATTTTGTACAAAAAGGCTTACTTTGACAAGGAATATCAGCATAACTCAGTGAGCCGGAAAACTATATGCAGTAACCCCAAGTTTAGTGTTAAAGTGACACTAAACTCAGGAGTTAAACCTTAAAAATGCTTTCAAGTACCCTTGTATCATTCAGCTGTAGATCCTCAATTCATCTCTGAATTGGTGCGAATACTTTCTGGAGAGTGGCTACTTTTGGTCCCTTTGTAAGTTGTAAAGTAGTCACACTCCAAGATCACTCAAGTGATGGACTACAATCTCAATACAAATTAGTATAATAAAACGTGAGATTGTAGCCCATCACAGAAGTGAGCTTTACAACACTCACAGGGACCATGGGGAACAAACGTAGCCCCCCTCCAGAAGGAAGGACAGTGTCAGCACCAATTCAGAGGTGATTTGAGGATCTGCAGCCGAGTGGTACACAAATAAGATACATTTTTGTTAATAGTTAAAGGAGAATTATGAGGCAAGTGATTTTCACTCAGCTTCATAATCTGAGCCGACCTGTGACAATGAAACTGTCACAGGTCGGCTCAATAGATCGGGAAGTGAGCAAACACATACCGTCGCTCGCTTACTTCTCGATCTATCCCTGCAGAGAGCTGTGACTGTCACTCACGGCTCCCTGCAGTGATTCCCCCTTCCCCTGTCCGATCCTCCAGCGATGACTGGCGGAACGGACGGGGGAGGGGGCGGGTACAGCAGGTCTCGCCTCTAGATAGGCAGAGCCAGCTGTCACTCACGCAGCTGGGTGGATACAGACAGCATGGCGGGATCCGTTCCGGCCGTGGTATACTGAGCATTGGGTGGCGGGAGGACGCTAGCTTGTGTCCTCCCGTCACCCTTAGGAGAACTATGGGGAAAAGCCCTAACCCCATAGTTCTCCTTTAAGGTGCTTGAATGCATTTTTAAGATTTAACTCCTGAGTTTAGTGTCGCTCTAAAGGGGTAACTCTATGTGTGACCATACATGAACCAATTTAAAAGATGAACCAAAGATGAACTCTAGACAAACAGCTAAAAATACAATGGCAATTTATAGGTGGCCCATAGGCGGCAGATGCTCTACCTGACAAAACATTTGGAATTCTGTTCAATCTGTTCTTAGATTGAGAACACTCCCAAAAAACTCAGCCAGTTC